CTCCCCTCCCAACTCCCTACCTACACTCCCCTTTACTGGCTCCATCTCAGCCTCCTTGACCTGTCCGTCTTCTCTCCACCTATCTGCTCCTCTATCCACCTTCCATCATCGCCTCCCCCCTCTCTTTATTTCAGAGCCCCCTCCCCCATTTCTGAAGAAGGGTCCAGACCCGAAATGTCAGCTTTCCTCCTCTGATGCTGCTTGGCCTGCTGTATTCATCCAGCTCTACACCTTGTTATCTCAACTTCACCTATTGTTTTATCTTGTTCTGGTCCCTGCTGTTACCTTATCCGATTTGAGGCTGGGGCTGAGATTGTGAATGTGGTGGATATTTGAGCTTCTCTGTCAGTCCAGGTGATGGCAGCTCGCCATCTGCGTTGCTCAGTAGTGATCAAGTCTCCTGTTCTGTCCTTTCAGACAAATTCATGTCCGTTGTGCAGACTCGAGTTGCCCACTGATAATCCAGAATACGAGGAATACAAGCAAGACAAGGTAAGGCACCTCTCACCCGACTCTCTCCTCTGAGCAGTGGCAAGCTTTTGCTGCGTGATGTGTTTACTCCTTCCAGTGTGGGTATGTGCTTCAACGCGAGGATGTTCTAAATGTGACGTCACGGTTAAAGTCCTTTTTCTGATGAGTTCTGTAAGCTCAATTGTCATGTTTGTCTCTAAGTGTGTGCAACTCAACGTCAGCAGTGCAGCCCTTCCAACTGCTTTGCAACATCCCAAGGTGCAGAAAAGTTACTGGAAGGAACCTGTACTGCCTTGTCAGAAACGATTGAAGCCCTGCAATGGTTTGATGGATATAACGGAGGCCAGTAGCGTAGTGGTAATGGCACTCGCCCAGTAATTGCTTGGGCAGGGCAGGGGGAGCAGAGGTGGAAGGGAAGAAGTGGAGTAGGCTAATGGTCTGGGGACATGGTTCAAATGCCATTGCGGTAGCTGATTGGTTTTCACCAACGTATTGAAGTGAAATTCTATCTCAGTAATGCTGACTGTTAATTTTAAAAAAAAAAAAACTCATCTGGTTGCTTAGAAAAAATAATCAGCTGTCCAACGTGACTCAGGACCCAGAGCAGTCTGGGTGAGTCTTAACTAGCAAGACCCCCTCCCAAGTTCAAAGGCAGTTTGGGATGGGCAACAACAGTTGGCCTTGCCATCAATGCCTGTAAGGACTTTTTGAAAAAATAAATTGTCATTGGGGTTCACCAGTTTGCTTCCTGAGTCAGCTGACCTCTGTGTTTGCATCCCACCCACACCTCCTGGCAGAAATCCCAATAAAGGAATTGTCCTCACTACAAGTTATCCAGCCATTTCTGCTGGTGAGTGTCCAATTGGCTGAGGGGCTGGTACCCCTGACTCTCCATTCCCGGTTTGGTTTGGTTTGAAGAAGGCCTTTTGGCCCATTGTTTCCCTGCTAGCCCTCCTTAAGGGGCAATTCACCGACTTCCCATCCTCTGCCCACACTCGCTCACGCTCTCTCTCTCATCCCCCGATACTCCTCCTTTTTAAAACTCTTCTAAATGTAAAAAGTCAGAAATGACACAGACAACTCTACCCATCGTGTCTGCCTGCCAATAAGATATCCACCAAGCATAATCCCACGTTCTAGCACTTGTTCCGTATCCACGGAGGTGACAGGCTTTCTGTTGCTTTCCAGATACTATTTAAATGAATTGAGAGTTTCGACTTGACTGCCCTTTTAGGCAATGAGTTGCTCCTCTAACCCTTCTACCAAACACTTCAAATCAATGTCCCCTTGTCAGTGACCCCTCTGCTAAGAGATCATTCCATACACCAGGTCCCTCACAATCTTGCACACCTCAGTCACCTTTCCCCTCAGCCGCCTCCATTCCAAGCACAATAAGCCCAGCCTTTCTGATCTCTCCAGAAAAGCAGCAGTTTTCCAGTCTTGGCAGCATCCCAGTGATATTTTAACCTTCAATTGAGGAAGCAGCTTTTCTTGTGTGTACTGCACTGTTCTGAACAAAGGTGACCCACATTTTTGATCACCACACATTCTAGGAGGCTATGCCAAGGACTTTTAATAGCTTTATGCCTTCGATTAGTGACATATGAGTTGTCATCATTCAAGTTATTCACGAGCACTTCAAGTAGAGAATATGGCTGGGATCCTGCTGCCACATAGGGAAAGATGTGGAATTCCCCAGTGTATTCAGCAGGTTAATCCCTCTTTGTTCACTCGTTGGAGGTGGGTTAAAAGGAATTGATATTGGATGGAGGCTGTAGGCTCCAGTAGGAGGGTTCATAGCCCCCTGGGTGCTTCTGTGTTTTTTTTTGTCACTGATATTAGTTGTTTTACTGTTAAGGCTTTGGATAGCTAGCATCATGTGAAGAATTACCTACTAGGCTGTGCCAAGTTCCTCATTCCCCATCTACAGTGTGGTAGTAAACATGCAGAAATATTTAAAAGATTACGCTGTTTGATCTCCTTAGACTCTACTGCTGGCAGAGTCTGTGTATTAAGCAAGTTTGTTGCATGCTCTGAAATGTCACTTCCGTTGCGCTCTTTCTGCAGGAGAGAAGAAAACAGAAAGAGCACCGCCTGGAATATCTGCATGGTGCCATGTACACATGACCACCAGCGAGTGGTCCTTTTGAGCATTTCGATGCATTTTTCCTACATTCTGGTGGTTCCCCTTTAGGCTCCTGGAGCTTCTCAAGAAATTTGTCGTTATGGACCCTGCTTTCACCTACAGCTCCTTTCCCATCGAAACGAGCAGAGCCAGGAGCAAGTGCAATGCTTCGAGTCCTGCAAAATGGAAAGCTCCTGTCTTCACGATCTTTGTGCTCTGTGGGGTATTGTTACCGGACCAGTCAATGGCTTTTCTTTACAAACTCCATTCCATTTGAAAATTTTACTCCCGAATTGGACAGAATGTGTGAAATATTAAGTGTTTGTACAACAGAATCTCAGCACTAAAATGCTCGTGTTAAGGCCCACTGTACATCTCAATGAAGTAGTGTGTTTTTCTGACTTACTGCTGTGTGGTTTGAAACCCTTTTGAATTGAAATTGTATTCATAATCCATTTCCGGCTTTACTATTGCAGGTTCTTGGTATTCCTCTTCCTGGGCTGGTCTCTTAAGATCTTTTCCAGGGTTTGCGTGCCCTGGAAAAGTGGATTATTGTTTATGGGGTCAGTTAGTAGTTTTTAACGCTTAGCAGCGTGAATTTGCTGTGTGCCATTAACATGGGTAAGGATTCCCAGTCACTGCACAAACAAGACAAACGTTTACAATGGACTGGCAGGACTGAAGAGCCCCACTGCTAGTCCTGTAGACAGAAAGTCACAAGAAATTCATCTTTAAGTGTTTGTTTGACTGGTCTTGATCTTTGATAGTCTTTTAAATCACTTGTTCTATGCAAAATCTATTCTGTAGTTGTAAATCTGTGTGCTACTTTAATGTGACTCAAGAATATTGAATATTGCACTGAAATTTTGTTTTATCACTTCGTGAACACTTTTTCTGCTGGAAATGGATTGTCTAACCAAATGTTGGGCATTGTCTTTTTATAGAGAAGGAGAAATGTTTTTTTAACTGCTGTGGGCGAACAGAACAGGTTTGTGTATACAGTTTAAAATCTTCTGCCTGAGTATTTTCCCTGAACGGCTATTCCTACCCACTTTGAAAAGTACCGAGGCAATGTGCCTAGGCAAATTCTTGCCAGTACCAGGAATCTGAAAGCAAAACGGGGTGTCATTAATATTCGCCTTACTCCAAGAGTCAGCTTCCTCTGCTGCCTGGGCTAGAGAATTCCCAAGGCTCACCATCTTCGAAGAGAAGGAATTTCTTCTCATCTCAGTCCTAAATGACCTTAAAACTCCTTGCTTCCAGTCTCCTCACAGGGGAAAACAGCCTAGCCACATCTACGCTGCGTAAGAATTCTGTAAATTACCTGTCAAAAGTGGGCCATAGTTAGGATCTGAGTACTGTACAGGGACATGGACAAGGAAGGCCCTGTCCACTGCTGATCTTAACAGATTTTGAAGGTAAAACCCAAAAGAACTGCGGATGCTGTAAATCAGGAAAAGAACAGAGTTAACGTTTTGGATCCGATGACCCACCCTCCGATTTTGAAGGTGATTTGACTCCAGGAAGAGCATTTTTGGCTCATCTACTTGCAATGACCCAAACTTACTTTCATGTGTTTGTCCAGCTGTTTGATTACAGGGTCTTTACCTCCACTGCTTTCTGTGAATAGGGTCATCTCTGTCACTGGGTGAAATAAAAATTGCTTTTGCTTGGGGTAGTGTTTGCATTATCGTGGTGAGTCCTCACAACTCCAGGCTGTGGTTGTGATGTCCTTGTCTAATGTACTCTCAAGGCTCTGCTAGCCCCCTGCTCTGTCCCCCACCCTGTCCTGGGCAAAGCATCAGAAAGTGCCCACTGGCACTGGAATCTGTACTGCGTGGAGTGGTCTTGGACGGGGAGATTAATTAAAGATCCGACAGCACTGTTTCTGTTGAATTTCTACTTTACCTGATGCGAGATTAAGTTGTGCGTTGCATAATGTTTTCATACACTTCCACCTGCAAATAAAACATGAACCTGGACTGTCTGAGCTCCGTCGCTGTTTCTTTCTGGTGTGCTTCTGTTAGTGGAACGTCCGATATGTTGTCTGGCACTATGGATAATGTGTGCTGGCTCTTCCTACCATTATCTGGATTCCTTAATTCTGTGGGGGAAATGGATTTTGGAACCTAAGTAAAGATCTTTTTTGGGTCTGCTTGATGGAACTAATCTAACTCTTGTCCTTGCCAGTCAAGGACAGTTGGAGGTGTCAATAACTCTGTGAAGGGTGAGAACAGGGAGTTCCCAGATTTGGTCTGTAGTCTTGTAGAAATAGAGCTGATTTCAGTTAAGAATCGCAGAATCCCTACACTGTGGAAGGAAGCCATTCAGCCCATCGAGTCACCACTGACCTTCTGAAGGATATCCCAGCCAGACCTGAACCCCTACCATATCCCTGTAATCCTGCATTCCCCTTGGCTGACCCACCTAGCCTGCCCATCACTGGGCACAATGGGACAATCCAAGCATAGCCAATCCACCCTAACCTGCACACCTTTGGACTGTGGGATGAAACCGGAGCACCTGGAGGAAACCCCATGCAGACACAGGGAGAATGTACAAACTGCATGCAGACAGTTGCCCTGAGGCTGGAATTGAACCTGGGTCCCTGGTGCCGTGAGGCAGCAGTGCTAACCACTGAGCCCCTATGGCGGTGTTGGGTTTGGGGGGTGGGTTTTTTTTTAACCTGAAGAAGGGTCTCGACCCGAAACATCAGCTTTCCTGCTCCTCTGATGCTGCTTGGCCTGCTGTGTTCATCCAGCTCTACACTGTTATCTCAGATTCTCCAGCATCGGCAGTTCCTACTGTCTCTTCTCATCTGTATGTCCTTGTTTGCTATGATCTGCCAGTACTGCTCACGAAGCAAAACTTTTCACAGTACAATAAATCAAATCAAGTTCACCTTATTCTACCCTAACTATTTTGATGTTTGGGGAGGTGATGGCCTAGTGGTATCCTTGCTAGACTGTTAATCCAGAGGACCAGGTATCATTTGAAGGACCAGGGTTTGAATCCCGCCACAGCAGATGGTGGAATCTGAATTCAATAAAAAGCTGGAACTAAGAGTCCAATGAATCATTATTGATTATTGGGGGGGTGGGGATAAAACCATTCGGTTCAGGGAAGGAAAGTGCCATCTTCATCTGGTCTGACCTACATGTGACTCTTAACTGCCCTCTGGGCAATTAGGGGTGGGCAATAAATGCTGGGCCTGGCCAGTGACACCCTCATCCTGTGAATGAACAAATAAAAATTTATCTCATGTTTAATCTTCCAAGGAGAAAAACTACTTCAAATCAGTTCTTATGCTTTCTTCAATCTGTTTAAAAGCATTATAATGCTCCACTAGGTAGCACTATTGTACTTTGCTGGTTAATTCTCTGAAAATATTCTCAAAGTTTAAATGACGATATTGCGTTCCCCTTCCCCCACATACCTTCACAACTACATCATTTAGTCTTCTAAGGCTGTGTGCTATTCTCCAGAGACAGAGTCAGCAGACAGACACCGTTCCTTTGACTCTGATATCTTGTGTTATAACTGGCAACAATAGCATTTTTGTAATCTTAATATTCCAGTTGAGCCTTAATATCTCCCCAAGCACTTTACACACTTAATTGCTTTGTGGAGCAGGTCATTACTTAGCTGAATGCATCGGCTATCAAAAATGAGCAACATTCACATAATTTGAGGGGAGACTTTAATGTGTTTGCATTCCTTCTTTAAAGGAGGGGGTAAGGAGTATATAATGGAGATAGCAAGAACTGCTGATGCTGGAGTCAGAGACAACACAGTGTGGAGCTGGAGGAGCAGGAAAGTTGACATTTCGGTTCAGGACCCTTCTTCAGAAATGGGGAAGGGAGCTGGGAAAAAAATAGAGAGGGGGGGGGGGGGGGGGCGGGGGAAGGTGGGATGGTGATAGGTGAGTGCAGGTAAGGAGTGGTGGGGATTAGTCAGTGCAATAGGTGGGAGAGAAGATGGACAAGTTGTGTCAGATCATGGTGGGGCTGAGAGGGAGGGTTGGACATGGGATGAGGCTGGGGATGGGGAGATTTTAAAGCTGGAGAATTCTATGTTTAGGCCATCCGGCTATAGGAATATGAGGTGTTGCTCCTTCAGTTTGAGGGTGGCATCATTGTGACACTGGAGGAGGCCCAGGATGGACATGTCATCCAGGGAATGAGAGTTAAAATGGTTGGTGATTGGAAGGTGTTGTCGTTTGTCGCATACAGAGCGCAGATGCTCTACAAAATTGTCTCCGAGTCTACGCTGAGTCTCACTGATGTATAGCATGGGTAGCCATTTACCTCCTCCCTCCCCAGTATCCAAGGGCCCAAACATATTCCAGGTGAAGCTGCACTTCCTAGAATCTAGTCCACTGCATTCGCTGCTCACAAAGAGGTCTCCTCTACATTGGGGAAACAAAACGTAAACTGGGTGATCGCTTTGCAGAACATCTATGTTCTGCCCGCAAAAAAACTCCCGAGCTTCCAGTTGTCTGCCACTTTAACGCACCACCGTTTCCAGGCTAGCTGCAGTGTTCCAGTGAAGCTGGAAGAACAACACCTCATTTTCCGCTTGGGCACCCTGCAGCCCTCCGGACTCAGTATCGAGTCCAATAATTTTAGCGCCTAAATTCTCCCATGTCCTAGCCCCCTACCCCCCCCACACCTGCCATTACACACTACCTATTGTTAGTCCATCCCTATTAACAGCTATTCACCCTCCTAGCTAAATTGTTATGAGTTCCTTTGTCTGTCCAACTGCTCTTCTCTTTCTTTGGGCTCTATCCCCACCTGTCATTTACTCCTTACCCCCTCCCTATCTTCTGCAGAAAAACCAGCATTTTCCTAGCTGCTGTCAGTTCTGAGGAACGGTCACCGGAACCAAAACGTTAACTCTGATCTTTTTCTTCACAGTTGCTGCCAGACCTGCTGAGCTTTTCCAGCAACTTTTGTTTGTGATCAACATTTCTGACAGTGCCTCAACACTGCAGTCGACATCGGGCTGAGATTATCTGGTTTGGCACTCAGTGGAGCTCTAACCCACACACTTGTGATCTCTGAAGCAATATGTCACTGGCATAGCCAAACTGTGTGTCTGCCTTTCTACGGAGACGTGTGTGCATTCTATCTGCTTCCATAAGGCTGACACTGTAATGGTGTGACATAATTTATTTCTGTCATGAATAGAAGGGTTTGATGGAAATCTGCCTCCTTTTTGTCACCTTGTGGCTTTTGACTTTGGGGTTCAAATAATTTTTGGCGTGTTCGCAGGGGCTACCTGGAAAACGTAGGCTGTGACATTTCTGCATCCTAGGTTTCTTCTCTACTGGGTTGATGACTCTACTCCCCTACCCAAATGGGACTTCCAAGCGTCAATGATTCTCCACTCTGTGCCTATATATACCACAGTGCATGACCTAACTGACCATTCCCCTCCCCTACCTGGAACACTGCGACCGAGTCTAGAAGCCCTTTGGCCAAGGGCAAAGAGAAGCGAACTTCTGAAAATTTAAGTTGTGTCGTCCATTTTGCTTTTCCCCAATGGCTTGCTTGAGTGAACGGGCAAGGGTCTGGCAGATGAAGTACAATGTTGGTAAATGTGAGCTCATCCATTCTGGTCAGATTAACAGCAAAATGGACTATTATTTAAATGGTGAAAAATGGCAGCGTGCTGCTGGGCAGAGGGACCTGGTGCTTGAATCACAAAAAAGTTGGTTTGCAGGTAGTTCAGAAGGCAAATGGAATATTGTGGTTCATTTTTAGGGGGATGGAGCTTAAAAACAGGGAGGTTATGCTGCTTCTGTATAAGGTGCTGGTGAGGCCAAATCTGGAGTATTGTGTACAGTTTTGGTCTCCTTCCTTGAGAAAGGACGTACTGGCACTGGAGGGGGTGCAGAGGAGGTTCGCTAGGTCGATTCTGGAATTGAGACGGTTGGCTCAAGAGGAGACACTGAGTAGACTGAGTCTGTACTCGTTGGAATGAGGGGGGAGTCTGATAGAAACATATAAAATTATGAAGGGAAGAGATAAGATAGAAGCAGGGAAGTTGTTTCCACTGGCAGTTGAAACTAGAACCAGGGGGCATAGCCTCAAAATGAGGGGGAGCAGATGTGGAACTGAGCTGAGGAGGAACTTCATCACCCAAAGGGTTGTGAATCTGTGGAATTCCCTGCCCAGTGAGGTGACTTGGTTGAATGTTTTTAAGGTGAAGATAAATTTTTGAACAGTAAAGGAATTAAGGGTTATGGTGAGCGGGCAGGTAAGTGGAGCTGAGTGCACAAAAAGGTCAGCCATGATTTTATCGAATGACAGAGCAGACTCGAGGACCAGATGGCCTCCTCCCGCTGCTATTTATGTTCTTACAGTGCAGGATTCTGACACATGCCTTTTAGCCTCACGTTGCTCTGTGGCCACACTAAGTAGTACATTTGCTCAGTGAGTGTTGATGTTTGCCTTCAACAAACATATTTATGTGCACAAGCACAGCTCCCATGGTGAGCCAAATTTACATTGCTGGAATCGGCGTTTTCAAACAATCCATAAATATATTAGCAGGCTGTCCCTTCAGAGATGGCGAGGAATTTTTTTGATTAGTTCCTGGATGACTGACTCACAGGGGATTTCAGTTTTGATAGTTAAATCATAGTCATCTCCACAGGACCTTATCATTAAATGTGTTAAGTCCTGCCCTAATTTGCCTTTCCAAAATGCAGCACCTCTATCTAAATTAAACTCCTTTCTAAATTCTAAATCAAACTACTTTCAAAATACTGCAAGCAGAAACACAGCTCCAGGGAGCTCTCACCTTAGCATAGCCGAAGTTGATGGCCAATTTGGAGAATACCATTGGGCTCTGGTAAATTAGGGCAGGACTTATACACTTAACAATAAGATCCCGGGGAGTGTTGCTGAACAAAAAGACCTTGGAGTGCAGGTTGTCTGAAGGTGGTGTTCAGGTAGACAGGGCGGTGAAGAAGGCATTTGGTACACTTCCCTTTATTGGTCAGTGCATTGAGTATAGGAGTTGGTAGGTCATGTTGCAGCTGTACAGGGCATTGGTCAGGCCACTTTTGGAATACTGCATTGAATTCTGGTCTCCCTGCTATAGGAAGGATGTTGTGAAACTTGAAAGGGTTCAGAAAAGATTTACAAGGATGTTGCCCGGGTTGCAGGGTTTGAGCTATAGAGAGGCTTAAATTAAGAGGTTTGTTTAAGAGAAATGTTGGTCAACATTTCTTTCAAGTTTGAATAAACATCCTTAAGGCCCATTTTGTTTAAACCAAAACTGATTGTTGTTAGGTTCTCAGGAGAAAGAAACAGAACATTGCAAAATATAAAGGCCCTGCTTTTGAATCTGTCTAATGTTTAAAGTTTAGGCATGTCATGTGTGCAATACAATATAAACAAGCACTTGACTATCACAAAGTCTTTATCGTCTACAGCATGATCTCATATAAAACAGTAAAGGAACTGGTACATGTTGTCTTATTTGCCACTAAAATTCTAATCATTTTCACACTTCAAATCTTGCTTGACAGGGAGTCAGATGGTACGGGGGTGGAGTGATGAGTAAATGTGGAAGGCAGAATCATGTCCATAATCAAGTCAGCCATGAATTTATCAAACAGCTCCCTTGTACTGAAAGGAGACCTGCCTAAGGATGGTCTGCATTGCAACTCCTCGCAAATATATTTGCAGCTTCCAGGGGGTGGGGAAAGAAAGGGTGAAATTTAATGAAATATTGCCCTCAAGGATGGTTCCTGTTGGGCCTAAATTCCCTGCTAGACGATAGGGATGCAACAAAGGGCGGTGAAGGAAGGAAAGGACACACAACATTTAAAAATAAGTTTATTTTAGAAAACAAATGAAACTCCTGATGCATGATTTTTGTGAAGTTGGTGATTCATTGCAAGGCTCCAACACGGGTCAATTTCCGCAGCAGTGTTGAGTATTTCTTCTGTGGAAACCCGGTGAAAAGACAAGGCCTCTGATGTCAAGACAGAAGAATTTATAAAGGTTTGCTAAAAAAATCTCACAGTAATACAAGTGCTTTTCTTTTCTTCTTAAAATATAAATAAATCCGGAACTCACAAAGCCAGAGGACGTGTTGCTCCTAGGTCTGTCCAACCACTGAAGGGTCTATTCTTTCTGAAGTAGCTGTGGCATCTGAAAGCGTACAGGGTCCTCAGGCAGCGAGAAGGATTGTGTCACCATAGTTGATGAACGTAGTTTTGTTTTCTGTTTAACATTCCTTGAGCAGCTGAAGGATCCCAGGCACTCTCGTCGATATAAACACCTCTTGCAAGCAGCTTTTGTTGCAAAAATCGGGCGAATTTATTGCTCGCAGCATTTAAACGCTTACCCTCTCTGATTTCAGGCAGGGTCAGTGCTGCTTACAAACATGTCCCGGTGGGAGGGAAGGGGTGGAATTGGAGGCCAACTCGTTTGGACATCCACTGTTCCAGCTTTGTACTGTGTGCAAAGGTTGCCCATTATTCCCCTGATGGTTCTTCCAGAATCGTGAGTAGCCCAGGGTTTGATTGTGGAGTTGCTTGGTGAAATGCGGGTTGTCAACATGCTTCGTCTCTAGCTTGAGTGAACCACTGGAGGAGAAGGGGGATGGAGGAAAATGGGTGTGGGGGAAGGGGATACTCCCAACCAAGACACTGCAACTCCTACGGGGGTGCCGGGTACAATGTTTTGAAGTTTTTTGAATGTCACAACAATGTGATAGTCCTGCAAAATTGTACCGGGGGGCCACAGGGCCCCGAGTGAATGCTCAGGGACCAATGACCACATTTCGGTGGGCAAGGGCTGGATGCCAGCATCAGAGAGCAGCAATGCCTCAATCAGGAATCTAACCCCCCCCCACCGCAAGACTAACTGAGATACAGTTCCTGCTGGTTTGGGGAGGTGGGGTCCAGGACTGTGGTCTGAAAAAAATTACAGCCAGAGCCTTCGGGAGTGAAATTATGAAACAGTTCTATGTCTGGAACTCCCGCACACAACAACTGGCATGCAAATCAATTGTAAATTTTTAAACCTGAGATTGACAAAGACTTCTGTTGATAAAAATTACGAGGGAGGGAGTCATGTAGTGTAGAGTTACCACCTGGCTCAGCCAGGGTCTTTCTGGATGGCAGAAGGGACTGGATGGGCCGAAAGGCCTCCCTAGCCGCTCTGTAATCAGGCTGGTCAGAGAAGGCATGTCCCACCACCTTTTTCAGGCCCGACTGCCGATCTGGGGCCCTCAGCAAACAGAGTAAAGCTGCCCTCTTTACTCAGTAGTTTAACCACCCCCGCAAACAAATATTCAGTGGTTTAAACCCCTCCAACCCATTACTCAGTGGTTTAAACCCCCCTACCCAATTACTCAGTAGCTTAAACCCACCCCCCTCACCATACCATTGAAAGGCGAAGTAGGACTACCCAACTGTTTGCCCCCTTTTGTGTCAATGTGCAATGCGCCTCTCTAGACTTGTTTAGCTTCTCCGCTTTGGAAGTGCTCAGTGCACATCCTACCTTCCGAGCCCGAGGTGAGGAATGAGATTTAGATGCTGGCTCTCCCCTGTTTTTAAAGTATGTCGTGTCTCTCCTAGCGTACTGACGGTGTGTGAGAAACACTGGCTGCGGGAGCCTATATGTGTCTTCGGTCATACGGCAGTGAGCAGCAACAGGTAGCTTGGGAGTGGGGGTGGAGGGGGGGAAGTAATCTCCTGCTTCGAGTCCACGAAATGCACTTGATGTACCCCACCCCCTCTAAGTGCTGATCCTTCTTTAGGCCTGGGTAAGCAAATGCAGAACAGGGAACCATTCTCTTCATCCATGGACAAGTGAAGTGACACACTAGTCTTTGATCTTAAAACTGAACCCACTTCTTTTGCATTTTAAAACACTATCTCTTGAGGAAAAACAGTAAAAACTTGTGGGGGGTGGATCGAATGCACAACTGAAAGTGATGTGCATTCAGAGAATGGCAGTGCTGCCTCTCATCCCCAGCCCTGGGGTCTCACAGTTGATGTGTGTGAGAAAGGCGGGAAAAAAAAAATACAAGGCCGCAGTTCACATTTGTGGGAAGTCGACCTCTCTGAAACATATAGTGCTGGCTAACTTTAATGGGCACTATGTCACTTCCTCTTTGTTTTTTGGGGGGGTGGTGTAAATCAAAACTCATACTGGCACCAAACTTTACGACAGAACCAGTTAGACGATGGGTTGGATTGTTGTTGGCTGACTCTCAGAGGCTAATTGGTGCCCGGTGAAGGAACAGGCACCACACCACACCACCGCACCCCCCTCCCCTCCCCCCTCCAACTTCTGGCTACAGCATTCCCTGCTGCTTTCCCTTCGATCCGGAGGGTTTTCTTTTGGTGCTATCTCTCCTTTCTTCGCAGGGGAGCCCGTCAACGGGTCGTTTCTGCCGCACGGAGCTCCAACGCAAGAATGCCAAAATTTCCACCCAGCTGCACAATCCCTACCACAAGAGGGCAGGGCGCATGGGATGGGCTCGGATTGGTGTCGCCAAGGCAAAAGGAAACCATAGGCTCCCTATTGTAGAGTTGGGCAATTCTTGGGTGCGTCCAAATTAAGGGTAAGATTTGACCACAAGCGTCTCATTTCAGGATTCTTCTGTAGCACCAAGGGGAGTCATGTTGGGAATAGATAAAGGGGAGTGGTGCACGATACACAGCCGTATGTTCACATTTTACCTCAGAGCCTGTGTGCGGCTCCGAATCAGGGAAGGTGGCGGCGTGTCACTGTACTCAGCAACAGTTAGATCATGGCAATGCTCTCTGGGTTACTGTTCAGGTGGGCAGATGCACTGCTGCCTGGGGATTTCGACGCCTTGCTCTTCCCCCTCCTCATAATAGCCAGCACAGTCTCGTTGGTGACGGAGGCAAAGTCAAAGGAGAAGGTCCCGTAAAAGATCAGAACGTCGACGGTGAAAATCCACTCGCAGACGGCAGCGGCGTGTTGGAACATCGAGCTCTCGTTGATGAAGAAGATGCCGCCTGATCACAGCTTTTAAGGAAATTACTTGCGAGGGAATGAGGTTAGTCACGGGGAGCATAAACCAACCACTGCGTAAGTCTCCTGTCTGTTCGTTTCTTCCTTTCGGGGCGCAGTTTGTCAAACGTCACCACTTCTCTGCATCTAATTCAAAAGACCAGTCTTTGTGTTGATGTCTAGAGGCTGGATATCAACAAATTGGGCGAAACAAGAGCAGCAAGTAACATTCCGCCCAGGTAACGGTCATCTCTTAGTATCTCCTTACAACATTCAATGGACATCACCATCGCTGAAACTGCGCTATCAACATCCTGGAGGGGTTACCACTGACCAGAAACCTTTCAATACTGTGAAACCACGAGTAGTTCGGAGGTCCTTTTGCAGTAGGTCATAGTCATACAGCAAGCAAACAGACCCTTTGGCCCAACCAGTCCGCGCCGAACCCACCTGCCCGCCCCCAGCCCATATCCCTCCAAACCTGTACTCATCCAAATGTCTTTTAGACATTGTAATGGTACCCACATCCATCACCTTCTCCTGAAGTTCATTCCACAAGCGAACCACTCTCTGTGTGCAAGAGTTGCCCCTTGTGTCTTTTTAAAATCTCTCTCACCTTAAAAATGTGCCCCCAGTCTTGAAATCTCCCATCCTAGCTCATCCTTAACTATCTATACTCCTCATTACTTTATAAATCTCTAAGGTTGCCTCTCAACCTCTTATACACCCGTGAAACAAGTCCCAGAACGACTCAAACCTTCCATGCCTGGTAACATCCTGGTAAATCTCTTTTGAACCCTCTCCATCTTACCTCCTGACTCCACAAAGCCTGTCCCACCATCCACAAGGCACAAGTCAGGAGTGTGATGGAATAGCACCCCCCTTGCACCGGATGGGGGCAGCTCCAACAACACTCAAGCAGCTCGACACCATCCAGGGACAAAGCAGCCCCCAGCTTGATTGGCCCCACATCCACAAACATCCCACTCCCCCCACCACCGACTCTCAGTAACAGCAGTGTGTACCATCTACAAGATGCACTGCAGCAACTCACCGAGGCCTCTCAGACAGCACCTTCCAAACCCACGACCCACTTCCATCCAGAAGGACAAGGGGCAGCAGGTACATGGGAACACCACCCCCTGCAAGGTCACCCTCCGAGCCCCTCACCGTCCCCGACTTGGGAAATATATTGGCCGTTCCTTCAGTGTCGCTGAAACTATAGAAGGCACTAGCCATAACCACAGCTGGATGATGAACAGTTTTGGTCCCTTTAACTACAGCTAGATCAAGGAGACAGTCCAGAGAAGGCTCAGCCTGTACTCACTGCAGTTCTGAAGAATGAGAGGGGACCTCATTGAAATGTGTAAGAGTTATGGAGAGATGTGGAGAAACTGTTTGCCCTTGTGACTGTCTACGACCAGTGGGCAGAAGGAGTCACACATTTAAAACAAGGGCTGAGGAGGAATTTCTTCTCTCAGAGGGGAGAGAATTCTGTGGAATTCTTTACTGCAAGGGCTGTCAAGGCTGGGTCATGAAGTCTATTCAAGGCTGGTCAGGAAGGGGAATCAAGGCTTATGGGGAAAAGGCAGGATGATCTCATTGAACACAGGGTGAACTCAATGGCCTGCTTCTGCTCTTAATATTTGTACATCATTTAAAAAACGGGCCCCAATCGAGTTGCCTCTGAAACCGACACTCAAAAATATGTGCAGTAAAAATTCATCTTGAAAGTGTGGGAAAACAGGCTTGTTGCATTCCCTATCAATGTTCAGTCCCACAGTCTGTATAACATGACAAAAACAAACTTGACTGACTTGATCAAAACAGCTTTTAAGGAAGGTCTTGGAGGACAGCGGGGTGGACAGGCAGAGACGAGGGAGTTTAACGAGGGATTTTCTGTTTAAGCTCTGTTAATTGCTGGGAAAGCTCAGCAGGTCTGGCAGCATCTGTGGAGAGAAAATCAGTTAATGTTTTGGGTCTGGCGACCCTTCCTCCGAACTCAGCTCCCCAGTTCTGACAAAGGGTCACTGGACCCAAAACGTTAACTCTGATACCTCTCCACAGATGCTGCCGGACCTGCTGAGCTTTTCCAGCCACTTCTGTTTTTGTTTCTGATTTACAGTGTCCGCAGTTCTTTCAGTTGTTTTTATTTGAATTCCAGAGCTTGGTGCCCGGGCACAGCGATTACAACTGGGGGACATGCTGAAATTTGAGGAGCACAGATATTTGAGGGAGTGGGGCTGGTGGAGATGACAGAGGCAGAGGCAGGGACAGGGGCAAGGTCATGGAGGGTTTTGAAAACAATTGTAAATTCAAAAGTTGCAATAGCAGGAGCTGGTGTGGGTCAGTAAGCACAGGGGCAAACTCCGAATAGGGCTTGAGCGTGAGTAATGCAGAAGAACGTAGGATGCCCTCAAGTTAAAAACGAGGGTAGAATGGGGAAGTGTAGCCTAGACTTGAGCAGTCAAATCTAGAGGCAGTAATACATGGTTAATGTCAAACTGCCTGCTTTGCACAGACTTTCCTAGACGTTTGAAGGTGATGACACGATGAAAGGTGCTGAGGTGACATGGGTAACCACTTTTAGCCCAGCTCCCAGCACAAACCCTGCCAGGATCTCCCCTTGAGGAAGCAACACCCTCGCCGCAGTGTCAGAACTGCGTCCCTGAAGCCAAGAAAATAAAGTGGGGAGAGAAGGAAACTGAGGTGCAGGATAGGCCTTTGGCAGCTATAACATTGGCTGGTGATTTCATTTGCTAATTAGTAACAGGGAACTACCGACCTCCAATGTTGCGCTGTTGTCATAGTTACAAATGGACCTCGTGCTTCAATGGGCTGATTTATGAATAGAAATGAGATTTATCGGTGTGCTTAGAGTCAGATTAATGATTCCAGCTGCTTAACTGTGCCAGTACCAACCACAGGGTAACCGACCTTCGAACTGAGACACCTTGGCCAACTTGGGAGACACCACTCGGTCTCCATTTAATTCCAGGAAGCTCAGAACTACATTATCCCCTCCCACAGCCATTCCCCCCTTCGCCCACTTCTAGACAGGCCTCCAACAGTTCCTGTTTATTTTCGGTTCCTCTCCTAAACCTGTCTCCAACTGTGATGCCATGTTAGCCCTTTCCCCTGGGTCTCTCAACGTATAAATTCAGTGCTTCAAAACTGGGAGTGATGTGGACTCCAAAGACACACAAGCGAACCAAGATCACATATGTCTCTCCCCAAACAATATCTTAGCAAAAGGGCCTCTGTTTGTGCAGCACCATTAATAGAGTGGAAGGTCCCAAGGCACACCATTATCGAACGAAATCTGACACCTAAGGAGAAACTATGCACCTGAAAGCTTTGTTGAAAAAGAGGGCTTTATAATTATGAAGAGAGGCGATTAAGTCACAACGATCAGCAAGCCTCGATATCACACAGCCAGTGATGACTGAGTTTATGTTCACTGAAATACCTCCTATCTCTCCGATCCTGGTGATCTGGGCAGTGGTTCTCAATTTGCGGGGTGGGGAGGGAAGTTCTAGAGTCACATGTCGGAAGATAACATGCCAAGATGTAGAAAAATCCGTGACAGAGATATACAGGCAGTCAGACAACAAGCACCGTCTGAGACATAATTAGCCGTAAAAGGACTACAGACGTCTCTGCCCATTCCATGGAGAAATGGTGGGAATGTCATTCAACTAGTAATCCAGAACCCCAGGCTAATGTTAATACTAAAAAGGACTGTAATATTTAATTTTAAACTCTGTTCCTCATTTCTTTCTACCTTGTTCTTAAGTTTTTGCACCTAGATACTTATACCTAAGATAGCACTGCGTGTGGCGTCATTGAAAACTTTGCACTGCACTCCCGTACTTGAGTACGCGTGACAGTAAACTCTAAATCCAAACATTCTGGGGACGTGGGTTCGGATCCCACTGAGGCAGATAGCAAAGGCTGGACTTCGTTAAACAATCTGGAATTAAAAAGTTAGCCAAATAATGACCACCGTTGATGGTTGGGAAAAAGTCGCCCTTCCCTAGTCTCGCCTACATGTGACTCCAGGCCCATTGCAATGTGGCCAAATCATCTGCCCTCTGGGCATTGAGGGATTGGCAATAATTGTTGACTTAGCCATAAAAGCCGTCATCCAATAGTTGGCTATAGTTAAATGGCACCACTCAAAGCATGGGACAAATTTCCTCTGCTGGTAAAGGGATCGTGCCTGTATGGTTGGCATCACACACTGTTGCCATCTGAGGGTCACTGGTCCCAAAACGTTAACTCCGTTTCTCCCTGCACAGATGCTGCCAGACCTGCTGCGTTTTTCCAGCAAGTTCTGTTTTTGTTTCCAACAACCGCAATTGTTTTGTTTTTAAAACCAAGGAATAGTGTCTGACTCATTCAGAACAGTTCAAGTCAAGGATATTAGGTGTTGAAAACCTGGATATTGTGTGTGCAGGAAACCAGAAAGGTCTAATTAAGGCAAAAATAGAGTTTATCCTGCCACAGCCTCGTCTTGAACCATTCTGAATAACTGGATAAGCCTGACTGATTTTGTTTGAAGAGGTGATCAAAATACTGGACTGACAAGTGCCTAGTGATGCTATCTATTGGGACTTCCAGAAAATAGTTGATAAAAGTCTCTGGAGAGAGTTGAAACCCACTTAATTGCAAACAGTTTATTGACCTGCTTGGGAAATCGACTGGCCGTAACAGACGAAGAGGAGAGGGATAGTGATAATGATTAATAGGACGTGACAAATGCTAGATCCCCGTTAGGGAACTCGCTCTAAATAATGTTCAGATGAAGCGAAAGAAAGCCAATTTTCTGACGACACAACGATAGGTAGCATTGGAAGCAGTGTGGAGGGGTGCAGAAAATTTCCAAACAGATGGTGGTAGATTAAGTGGACAAGCAAAACAGCAGCAAATGGCATTTGATGTAGGAAAATGTTAGGTCACCTTTTTTGGACTTAACGAGGATAGAACACGGTCATTCTAAATA